TCCTTGAGCTGCAACAGCGGTGCCCACCCTTGCTGGATAGCCACGATCCACGCGACGACGGGGCCTGCGCTGGCCGCATGCTCTGGGCCAGCTCTTGGACCAAGGCCTGGAAGAAACTCCAGAGCACGGGGACGTCCTCAGGGTGCCCTGAATACAGCCTGGGCCACCATGGCCACCATGGCCCTTAACTCGATCAACTTCATATTGGAGAGCCCGACGACCGTGGCCTCTTGGAGCGGCGATGGGGGAGGTCCTGATTCCGTGACCTTCGCGGCCCCTCCGAGCCTGCTCCGAAGTTCTCTGGGCCGAGACAACCGCAGCGGTAACTCGGCGGAACGATGTCTGAACTTCGGCGGCACTCTTACCTCTAGATAGACCCCGTGCGATCCACAAACCCTCCCCCGACGTGGTAATACGGAAATCCAACTTACAAAGCCGTTTCCTGATGACCTGAGACACATCAGCATTGGATGCCATGATCAGCCCCTTCTCCGTAGAAACGGCCAACTCCAACTTCTCCAACAGCAGGCGGCCACAGGGACGCCGCACCGCCGGTAAGCACACCTCGCCTGTCTGCGCCGAGCGAAACAAAAAGCGCAAGGTCACCGACTGCGATGGGCAACCTGACGCCCGGCCAGCGCAGCCGAGCCACATGGCAAGGCGTCAACAGAATCAGCTTCATCAGGGGCGTTGAGAACGAACAGCCCGCTACGATTTCCTACCAAACTTGGATTACGCCCAAAACCACGCTGCCAATCTGCAATAGTTTGGCTGCCCTGCATTGGCGGGGGAGAAGGCGAAGCCGAACCAAAAGAAATTCGCGGCGGAAAGCAGCCTGCAAGAGTAAGAAATGGGATGCTGTCCCACACGCCTTGGTGAGACCAATCAACGCCGCAGCCAGCGGCACCCCCGTCAGCTTTGAGAACTCCCCAGACATCGATTGCTCCCGAACTGCTCGCTCGCAGCTTCCGCCCTGGGACCCATAATGAAAACCGCAAACAACTCGGCCCCCCCACAGATCAGCCCCAGCGCGATTTACCTTTCCGAAGGCCAGACGTATTCCAGGGGGAGCCCAATGGGCCTGAATCCTTTACCTGGCCAAGGTAACAACACGATAAGGTTCAACGCCAACTGCGAAGGCACAAGCCCAAGACGCTCAGCCCACCGACGGAAAGGTCCCAAGACACGCAGCGGGCGCCTCGTCACAATCCAAGCCTACGTCGCGAGGATGCATAGGGTCTGAGGAGCCGGGCCCTGTATTCCTCTTGAACGTGCCTGCCGCTCGTCCGATGTCAACTGCCGTCGCAACGCGCGGATAAATGTTCTGTCCGTCGCGCTCTCGCAGGCTCATGTTCTGGGCCAACTCTGCGATGGCATCTGGGAAGTGGGGGGCCTCTGGCGTAGGTCTCTAGATACCTGCCCAGAGACGCCCCTGCCCCTGAATCTACTCGCTGGGTCCATGGGGGGGGCGCCTGGCACGACGCATTGGCCAGGGTTCCACCCATGCGGGACCTCGGTGCATCGGCGAGCACGGCCTTCCCACCCACCCACCCACACCCTTTACTGCGTCAGCTATCCAGTCTCTCCACTGAGCCCCCCCCCCCCCACTCGAGACCCCCCCCCCCGAAAAAAAAAGCATGTCAGCGCTCTTCGCGCTGCCGAGCCAGAAGGGACGCCCGGGGGCAAGCGAGCAGGTCGCAACAGAAGTATGGTTTTTAGCAGGGCCAACCTGGGCGCCTCCGAAGGTGCCCAGGGCCCAAGGACTTCCCTGATCAGGTCGCGAGTCTCGGCGGGGCCCCATGAGCCTGCCCTGGCCTCGGCGCGGCGGAGCCCCTGGAACGCAATCGCCCCCCCCCCCCCCCCCGAGCTCAGCTCCCAGGACAGGCTGCAAGGGAAGGGCGCCCCACATGTTGCCAACGACCTGACTCTGTCCAACTGCTTCTGACGTGCCCTTCCACCACGCCCACGGCTAGAAACCTGGTAAGCATCACATAACTCGGACTCGAAGGGGGCCGGGAAGTCCGAGAAAACTCCGCCCAGGTCCTCCCGGGCCACACTAGCCTAAGCTCGACGCAGGAAGCCTTGATAGTCAGGGGGCCCTGGGCGAGGACCGACTGGGAGCTCCGCGGGAAATCCGACCATGCGTGGCAACGCCCAACGCATTGCCTCCATCGGGCCCCCCTGCAGCACGAGCGAGACTGGCCAGAGCGGAACAATCGTTGCCTGCTCATTCCCGACGCACTGGCTGGCGCAAGGAGCCAGCCCACTAGACATGACAAGAGAATCAAGTGTTCGCCATCTCTTTGCCGGCGAACGGCACGCGGCCTGCTGCGGCGCAACGATCGCACCGCCCATCTTCTGCGCCCAACCGAAAGTGCGATAGTTCTTCGGCTCGACGCTCCAATCTCCAGCAAGCACGGATGGGGGCCATGGGGGCCCTAAGGCCCGGGCGAGCATTTGCGAGCCTTCGGCGCCTCATGGGGCCCCTTGGGGTATGCAGATTGACCCGGCAATGAGCCCACCAGCAATAAAAGCGTCGACCACAGACCCTGGACGGCGCGCACGGCGCCCTGGCCTGGCCAGGAATTCTGCCCATCCCGACATGGGCCAGCGAAGCCACTCCGACCCCGGAGCTGAGCCCTCCAGCATCGGTGACGAAGGAGGTGTGGATGCAGAGATCCCAAAGTATCTTCCCAGCAGAAGCTTCGTGGCCCCTGCGGTCCTTAGCCTCGGTGCCTATCTCCTGGGGCGGGGCCAGACTCGCGTCCATCTCCGGTCCGGCTCCAGATATCTCTGCGCAGACTCCCACGAGGTGGCGTTCGCCGTCTCGATCTCGGAATGGGCCTTACGCTTCCTACAATTCAATGGCCCACGCGGGGGCAAGCTGGAAAATTGGCGCGGGTGCCGGTTCGACTGCCGGATCGGGGCCAGGCGGAATCGCGTCGGGAGTCGAGGCAATGTTCGAGGAAGTCCCAGGGCCATTTCCAGACCTCACGCCCAAAACAAAATCGCAGATACCCATGGAAATGCTTGACTATGTCCTGTCCGAATGATTGCTGCAGCCCCCACTTGCCCATTGCACGCAGGGCCTCTGGTGCCTGCAGATTACTTGGCGAAAATTTCCACCCTCCGCATGGCCCGCCATCGCCGTAGATCGGCTGCTCAGCGAGCGAGGGCCGCCCCTCTCCGCGGGCGCGGGGAAGGGGCTGGGGAGGCCGATAATTTGGCGCTGCTGGCTGGCGCTTCGCCTGGCTCGCCAGAAAGGGCGGCTGCCGCGCGAACTCGCACGCCGCTGCTGCTACTGACCGCCTCTGCCGCCCCCTGCCAGCTGGGCCCCTAAGAACCTCGGTCCGCGGGCCCCGCTCGAGGCGCGCCTGGCCCCCGAGGCCCCTTGGAATCTGCGGCGGCAGAAGCCCAGGTGCACCGCGGGGGCCCCGCCTCGGAGGATCCCCCAGCTCCTGCTCCCGCTGCGCCGTCTCCAGCTCCACCTGCGTCCTCACCGACCTCGACCACCAAGTCTCCTCCCCCTGGCTTATCGGCACGGGCTCGTTTGCGACGCACACGTCGAACGCGTTCGATATGCTGTGCACGACTGCGCTGCTGGCCACCAACAGCACCAGCAAACAACACCTTAGCAACGGATTGAAAGTGGGAGTTGGGCGCCTGCATCCTCGCCGCCAGCTGCTTTTGATCCTCCTCAGCGAGGGTGTACTCTTCGACGTTGAAGAACTCTTCGGTATCGAACAGGTCTGCGGCTGCGGCGGCGCCGTCAACGACCTTGGCGACTGGCGGACGCAATGGCCCACCCTTCGCCAGTGGAACGCTTCACTGCTTGGCCTGTTCCGCCACCAACTCTCTGCGCTGCGCGTCCGCCTCGTCGAGCGCCTTCTGTCCATCGGCCACCGCCTGGCGCTGCAGCATGGCCTGGGGGGTGATGCGGCCGAGCTTGTCGAGCTCCTGTTCCAAGCTCCAACTTCTGGATGCGGTTGTGGAGAGCTGACGCACGCTCCTGAACTGGTGGAACAGCACTGCCGGACTGCAATCGTCGCAGCTGTTCCTTGCACTTGGCTGGAGGTGGTATGTTGTTCTCTTTGTGAGCTGGACAAGTTGCTTGAGGTCATCTTCAGACAATCCTGGCCTGGACGCCTCATCCGCAAACGACACCGACCGTTCCCGCGCCCTCTTGTGGCATCTTCACGTTTGCCTCCCCGCTCCGCACCTGCCCTTGGCGTGGTTGACCTCGGTCGCAAGATACTAGGCGGTCATGGGGGGGGCTTTCTCGCGTCCAGGATGGCCAAAGTAGACGTTGCCGTCTCTGGCTTGGCTGCTCCACAATGCTTACACTCATCCATGCCTGCCCTGGTTTTCTCACATTTGCAGCGCGCACACTTCCAGAGGGGCTGCTTGGGCTTCTGCGACATCACAAACTGGGGGTGCATTGGCTCGGGCTCCAAGTCATCGAACTTTGGCCAAGGCACTGATTTGCCTGTGCCTTTTTTTCGTCGTTCTGCTTCGACCCAACTGCTGCGTTCGCCACGGCGCAGCAAATCGTTCTGTCGTCTGCCAGTGCGAATAATCAGGGGGTCTCGGCCCAGCATCTCTGGATCCGATCCTCTTCCAATTCATGGGTTGTGCCGAATGGTGCGCCTCGAGAAGTCCTGGTGCACGGCCCAATCTGACCAATGCCTTCGCCCAAGAACGCGAGCGCCTGGCACGTCTGTGCCAGGACTCCTCAACTGGCCGATCTTCCGCCGCGACAAGAAACACAAGAAGCGCGCTGGGCGCGGCAATCTGATCGCACGCCTGAGGACTGACCTGCACGGGCAGCTACGGCATCGGAATGCTATCCCTGCTTCCCCACACTCAAGCCAGATGCCTCCTCCTCCTCCTTTTCCTCCTCCTCCTCCTCCTCCGCCTCCTCTTCATCCTCCTCCTCTTCCTCCTCCTCCTCCTCCTCCTACTCCTCCTCCTCCTCCTCCTCCTCCTCCTCCTCGTGCGGCCTCTTCTCGCCGTCCCGTTGCTCCCTCTCCTTGGCCAGGCTGTCCGCCACCACGGTGGCGGCCGCGGCCGCCACCGCCACCGGCGAGGCCGACGATCGCCCATCCTGCCGAGAGGCGCGAGGGGAGAGGCACTAAGTTTGCTGATTACCAGCCTCGAACGTATCCCTATCCCTAAGATTGACACGCCAAAAGGCGATGACAATCTTAGGGATCCGCCCTCAAAAAAATAGGGGAATCCCTAAGATTGGCATGGTGATGAGGAGGTGCCCAGCATAGGGATAGAGATATGTTCCAGGCTGGTAAGCTGATGCCTCAGCGGCCGCGTCGCAGAGCTCAAGGCCTCAGAGCAAGCTCGAGCGGCCTGCTCCCATCGGCCCAGGACGACGTCCTCGAAGGCTCCACTGCCCACAGGCCGCAGATTGCCCTCGCCCAGAGAGGCGTGAGGCGACGAAGCGGAGAGGCGAAACCTGGTCGGCTTCACAGCGCGGCCGTGGACAGGCTCGACCCGATCACGCTGCAGCACCCGACGAGCTTCAGAGGGAGTCATCCGTCATCCAAATAGTTGGTAGGTGCAAGCACGTTCGCGGTGACGATGCGAGAGCACGCATTCGAAAGCAAACCGTCCTCTATTAATACCAAAACGTTAGGATCACAGGTGTGCGGACATCTGGAAAGCGCGAAACCAGATTCCAAGGCCATCCCACAACCATCCATGAAACCCCAATACCTTGCCACACGAAAATACTCAGCAAGAGCACGGAAAAAAGGTAAATCCCTACACCTGTGATGCGAGGCGGGGATATATCCATATCCACCGCCTGTGGAACCGACGTCCTGGGAAATTGGTGGGGAGGGGAGGACGGGGCGGAGAAGCAGAGAGAGGGACGAAGAGAGAGAGAGAGAGAGAGAAGGAGATGGGGGAACAGAAATGCAAGAAGCGGCGAGGGGACCTTGGAGAGAGACAAAAGTGTCTTCGCGCACCCCTTCCCGACACAACACCGTACACCCTTTCGCCCGCTCGCACCACAGATCACATGAACGCCATCTGGAGGATTCGGGCACGCAGGGGCTCGCTGGCACGTGTGGGGAGCCTCCCGCCCCCTGCCAGTCCTCCTGCTCGTAACCCCCCCTCGTCCAGCCTGGGCAGCCGACGCCCGATGTGCACTGACAGTGCGCCCCAAGCCTCAAGACGAATCATCGAAGAGGCAACATGCACGGAAGTCGCCTCGGAAATACCTCCCTCGCGGCTCCCGCCTGGACACACAGAACAGTGGCGGACCGTGGGCGCAGTCAAGCCTCCGCTGACAATGATACCCCTAAAAGTCGCCGCCGAGCTTGCCCAAACCAGAATCTGTCTGCCTCGTCCTTCCTCCTTCCTCATCATCCCCGCTCGTCCTGCTCTTCCTCCTCCTCCTCCTCTTCCTCCTCCTCCTCCTCATCAGCATCCTCGTCATCAGCATCATCATCATCATCATCATCATCAGCATCATCCTCAGAAGCATCATCGGAATTATGATCTGCATCATGACCGCCACCACCACCATCATCACCATCATCGTCGTCGACGACGTCGTCGGCGTCGTCGTGGTCGTGGTCGTCGTCATCGTCGGCAGTGTCATCATCATCATCATCATCATCATCATCAGCATCATCATCATCAGCAGCAGCATCACCAGCAGCAGCAGCATGCTCATCGGAAGCATCATCGGTATCATCACCAACAACATCAGCATCAGCATCAGCATCATCAGTCACCAGTCATCAGCAGCAGCATAACCATTGTCATCGTCATCAGCCTAAGGATGGTAACGATAAGCATCATCATCGTCGTCAGCATCACCATGGCCATCATCAACATCATCAGCATCAACAGCAGCATCAAAAGCAGCATCATCATCATCATCATCATCATCATCATCATCATCATCATCATCATCATCATCATCATCGTTATCATAATCATCAGCATCACCATTCCAATCCATTCCTTTTCCTTATAAACAACTTCTCCCCGTCGCACCCCGAGGCCGGTCGAAACGGCGGCCCAGTCGCCTTTGCGCCCCGCACGTTCGTTTTTAGACTTGCCAGAGTTTGACGGATTCCTATGGTCAACGTACCAGACATGACGTTGTGGAAAGATTCAGGATTATAAGGGTACAACAGTTACGTTGATTCGCGGTGTTGACATCCCAGGGACGGCTTTCTGGCACGATTCAGGACACCAAGACGCAACAGTCAGGTTGATCCGTGGCGTTGGAGTCCCGAGAATAATGTTTTGGCATGCTTCAGGGTCTTCAAAAGGGTGTCTTCCAACGTGGCAGTTTCCTCAGTGAAAATGAAAGCTTGTACGGGGCCAATGAAGAGGGAGCTTGCAAGGAGGGTTTATCCCAACATCGTTGATGACTCTTGGGTTTGCACTGGTCCTCCTCCTCCTCGTTCTCCTTCCTGCCCTCTAGCTCCACCAATCCTGCCAACCCCACCTTCCAGTGAGCACAAGTGAGGATGGGTTTGTTAAATTGTCCCTACGGCCCAGCCCCCACACGGCTGACGGGCATGGACCACGGCACGTCTGGAAGCCCGAAGCCTGGGGCGGTGCCTGCCCCCTCCTCCCCGTCCACCTTTTGTGCCTCCCGCGCTCCTTGATGCTGGTGTACCCGACCTCAGGGTGGAGCAGCAGCGCGACAGAGAGGGGCACGGGTATGGCATCGCGGTCCATGGTGAACGACTGGATGTTCACGCCCTCCATCCAGTCGGGGATCTGCGCAGGGAATAGGGAGACCAAGAGCTGCCGATGCCGCTGCTCCCCGGACCTCTCCTGGGGTGCATTCTGACCAGCAGTTCGAGGCGAATCCAGCGGTGGCGGCGAGGGCCTCCCAGGAGGCCCAAAAAAGGAAAGCAATGGAGGGGTAGACCCGAGCGCGAGGTGCACCTGAGGGGAATCCCGGAGCACCCCGAACGCAGCAGCTTCTTCAACGGCTGTGGGAGGTCACTGCGCAGCGCGCGGAGCGAAGAAACCCAGGGTACCTCAACGAAGAAGAATATGGTTTCTTGACGCGCGCCCCCACTGCATGGTTTCCTCCTCCGATGGGAGGGCGCAGCAGCCAGGGCAGAAGCGGGCGGAGGAGGAGCTCCAGGCGGACCCCGTGCGCCGAGCGGGAGCAGAAGAAGCGGAGGCGAGTGGAACATGGGCAGGTGCTGGAAGAGAGAGAGAGAGAGAGGCCGAGAAGCAGCACCCAAGCTTCGGAGGCTCGTCCTTGCTCCTCCTCCTCCTCCTCCAACTCCTCCTGCTCCTCCTGCTCCTCATCCTCCTCCTCATCCTCCTCCTCATCCTCCTCCTCGATACTGGTCCTCCTCCTCCTCCTGCTCCTCCTCCTCCTCCTCCTCCTGCTCCTCGTCCTTCTCCTCCTCCTCCTCCTCCTCCTCCTCCCCCTCCTCCTCCTCCTCCTCCTGCTTTTTCCTCCTGGCCCTCCTCCTCATCCTCTTCCTCCTCTTATTGCTCCTGCTCCTCATCATCTTCCTCCTCCGCCTCCTCATCCTCCTTCTCCTCCTTTCCTCCTCCTTCTGCTCCTTGTCCTCCTCCTCCTCCTCTTCGTCCTCCTCCTCCTCCTCATCTTCCTCCTCCTCCCACTCCTCCTCCTCCTCATCCTCCTCTTCCTCCTCCGCCTCCTCCTCCTCCTCATCATCATCATCAGCAGCAGCAGCGTCAGCATCAGCATCAGCACCAACATCAGCACCAGCATCAGCATCAGCGTCATCATCGTCAGCATCAGCATCAACAGCATCATCATCAGAATCAGCATCAGCATCAGCATCAGCATCAGTAGCAGCATCATCATCGATAACAGCAGCAACATCTTCACCAGTACCGTCAGCATCGCCACCATCATCAGCATCATCAGTATCAGCAGCATCAGCATCATAATCAGTATGGCCAGCATCATCATCACCAGCATCGTCATCAGCATCAGAAGCAGCATCAGCAGCACCATCAGCATCAGCATCAGCATCAGCATCAACAGCATAAGCATCATCGTCAGCAACATCATCAACATAAGCATCAGCATCTCCATCCTCATCATCATCAACAGCAGTAGCAGCAGCATCATCATCAGCATCAGCATCGTCATCGTCAGCAGCATAAGCATCATCGTTATCATCAGCATCAGCATCATTAGCAGCAGCAGTAATCATAATCAACATCAACAGCATCATCAGCCGCATCACCATCCTCATCATCAGCAGCAGCATCAACTTCATCAGCATCATCACCATCGTCGTCGTCATCGTCACCATCAGCAGCAGCAGCAGCAGCATCAGCAGCAGCAGCAAACTCAGCCGCATGATCATCAGCATCAGCATCGCCATCTTACATTATGAGTGTGATTAGTCTTCGTCTGTTTCGTCCTCCAGATCCTCCTGACTCCTCCTCCTCTTCCTCCTCCGCCGCCGCCTCCGCCTCTGCCTCCTCCTCCTCATCCTCCTCCTTCTCCTCCTTCCTCCTTCCCTTCCTCCATCCATCCCTGCCTCCCTCCCTCGCTCCCTCCCTCCCTCCCTCCTGTTCCTCCTCCTCCTCCTCCTCCTCCTCCTCATCCTCCACCTCCTCCCTCCTCCCTCTTCCTCCTCCTCCTCCACTGCCTTCTCCTCCTCCTCCTCATCATCATCGTCATCAACATCGCCATCATCATCGTCATAATCATTAGTAGTACGTGTTTCATTCTTCTTATACGTAGCAACAGTCGTATTAGGATTAATACTATGATTTCTGACTGGCCTTATGTTTTATGCGTTGTGCGTTTTACCGTTATTATCAGTATCATTGGCATTATTAATGTTCGCGTAAGTCTTCTCATCATTAGTATCATTAGTGGTGGCAGTCTTGATTAGTATGCGTAGTACGAGTACGATTCGCCGTATTATTGTGTATGGTTATGAGTAGTTGTCTTAGCAGTCTGACGAGTAGGAGTAATTTAGGAGCCAGGTTTGCGATCTGAATTGTATCATTCGTATTGTTCGCATTCGAATTCTTATTACTGTTACCATCATGCGTATTAGTATTATCATTTTCTGTCGTATTCGTATTAGTAGTTGTCTTTTTTGCTAGGAGTGCTATAGTCTTATTTGTCTCATTATCAATGTTACTATTATTCGTATTACTCACATTATAACTCTTAGTGCCAATATTATTATTATTGTTATTGCTCCTCCTCCTCCGTCAGCTCCTCCTCGACCCGGTCTCTTCTTCGCCCCCCTTCGCATCGCTCACATCCAAGCCCCTGACTCCTCCCCCTTCCCAGCTCTCCTTTACCTGCCCCTCCCCCCAGCTTCTCATCTCGACGCTCCCCCCCTCTCGCCCCCCCCCTCGCTTTCGCACAACTACACAACATGAAAACTACTCTCATCTCTCCCCTGATATCTCCATCTCCGCGTCCTGTTCGTACACACAGGATTGGTGATGACTCGATGTCTCAAACATGGCACTCCGGATTCCATAACAAGGTGGGGGGGGTCACATTCGGGGGGGGGGGTCTAATTTGAGCTGCCTTGGAGGGTTCGGGGGGGTCTGGGCAAAGGGCCGCCCTTCCATGGATAGTCTGGGGGGGCCTAAAACTTCTCGTCTGGGAGGAGGAGGAGGAGGAGGAGGAGGAGGGGGAGGAGGAGGAGGAGAGAGGAGGGAGGAGGAGGAGAGGAGGAGGAGGAGGAGGGGGAGGAGGAGGAGGAGGGAGGAGGAGGAGGAGGAGGGCCAGGAGGAGGAGGAGGAGGAGGAGGGTTGTGATCCCCTCCCTTTTATTACGAAATCTGGAGCACTCCCGCCGCAGCGCGGGCCTCACTAATGGGGAATCGGCGCCGTCCCGGTGGTTGGAGACGGCGCTCCAGCCCAAGCGTGGGCTGCGTCTCTGGATACGCCTCCTCCTCCTCCTCCTCCTCCTCCTCCTCCTCCTCCTCCTCCTCCTCCTCCTCCTCTCTCTTCTTCCTCCTCCTCCTCCTCCTCCTCTCCTCCTCCTCCTCCTCCTCCTCCTCCTCCTCCTCCTCCTCCCCTCCTCCCCCTCCTCCTCCTCCTCCTCCTCCCCCTCCCCCCTCCCCCTCCCTCCTCCCCTCCTCCTCCTCCTCCTCCTCCTCCTCCTCCTCCTCCTCCTCCTCCCCTCCTCCTCCTCCTCCCCCTCCCCCTCCCCCCTCCTCCTCCTCCTCCTCCTCCTCCTCCTCCTCCTCCTCCTCCTTCGTCGCTGTCGCCCCCTCCCTGTAGTGCCTTTTCACTCCAGTTCCCGCCGCTGCTGCGGTTCGTCATCGCTCTCGGCCTCCCTCTCCGCATCCTCCCTTCTTGGTATCCCTGCCCAGCTCCTCCGCCTTCCCCTGGTCATCCTGCGTCTCTCCAGCTCCTGCTGTTGCTCGTCCTCCCTCTCCGCCTCCTCGTCCTCCTCCTGCTCCTCCTGCTCGCCCGCCATCTCCTCCTCGTGTGTGCGCAGCTCCCTTGTTGTCCGATTGCGCAGGACACGAACGGCTTGATCAAGGAGTTCCAGGTCGGCGACGACACACGTCCGCGGACAGAGGCAGGGAGGAAGGACGGAAGGGAGGCAGGGATCAGAAATCAGACCCGGCGCAAGAACACCTTGCTTGCCTCCTTTCCTTTCTCTCGCACGCTTCCCCGTCCACTTCCTTGGCCTGCCCCATCCCCCTCCCGTTTCCCCCTCCTTGCCCCTCTCCCCCGTGCCCAATCCCAGATCCCCCTCCCCGCGCGGCAAGGGGCACCTCCGTGCTCTCCTTCACCTCCCCGAAGACGAAGGGGGTCAGCGCGTCGGCCTGCCCAGGGGGTGGGCGGGAGGACAGGGCTGGGGACGCGGACTGGGACTCAGACGACCATGGCGACGGTGACGAGCAGAGTGATGGGCACGCAAGCAGGAGGAGGAGGAGGAGGAGGAGGAGAAGGAGGAGGAGGAGGACCAGTGTAAACCCAAGAATCATCAACGATGTTGGAGGTAACCTTCCCTGCAAGCTCCCTCTTCATAGGCCCCTACAACGGTTCATTTCCGTTGATGGAACTGCCTCGTTGGAAGACATCCGCTTGAATACCCTGAAGCATGCCAAAACATTGTACTCGGGATTCCAACGCCACGGATCAACCGGACTCCTGCGTCTTGAAGATCCTGAATGCTGCCAGAACGCCACCCTCGGACTTCAACAACAAATCACTGAACATGTCGCACCCGCATAATATGGAATCCTTCCAAGACACTATTTCTGGTACGCTGATTATGGGAACACGCGAAACTCCTAAAAACTGTGTAAGCGAATATGCGCGACGCCAAAACGAGAACCACCAATTGAAAAGGAACCCCCGTCAATCCGTGAAACTATTGCAAACTCTTCAACAGAATGTGCGCGGCCCTAAGGCGGGAGCCACAATTTCAGAAGGAACTGCCCGCAATCCGTGAAACTCTTGCAAATGCTTAAAAAGAATGCGCGCGGCGCTAATGCGAGAGCCACATTTTGAAAACCAGACGCCTTCAATCCGTGGAAATCTTGCAAATTTGTATAAACGAATTTACGCGGCGCTAAAGCGAAAACCACAATTTGAAAACCACCCACCCTGAATACGCGAAACTCTTGCAAGTGTATAAAACGAATGTGCGCCGCGCTAAGGCGAGAGTCACATTTTGAAAACGACCCGCCCTTCATCTGTGAACGTGTTGCGAATATGTAGATTTCAGAATCAGAACTGGTGAGGAAGTCTCAGGCGAAACGCCCAGCCCACCCTCAAAACTGGCTTCGGGGTGCGACAGGGAGAAATTACTCATAAGGAAAAGGAAAGGAGAAGGAGGAGGAGGAGGACCAGTGTAAACCCAAGAATCATCAACGATGTTGGAGTTAACCTTCCCTCCAAGCTTCCTCTTCATAGGCCCCTACAACGGTTCATTCCCACTGAGGGAACCCCTTTGAAGACCCTGAAACATGCCAAAACATTGTTCTCGGGATGTCAACGCCACGGGTCAACCTGACTGCTGCGCCTTGACGATCTGGAACCGCGACAGAACCCCATTTGGGGGACTTCAACACCACGAATCAACATGATTGGTGCAATCACTTCATCCTGAATCCGTCCAAAATACCGTTTCTGGTATGTTGATCATGGGACCCCGCGAAACTCTTGCAAATGTTTAAAACGAATGCGCGAGGCGCTGAAGCGAGAGCCACGTTTCGAAAAGGAACCGCCCTCAATCCGTGAAGCTCTTGCAATTTGTTAAGCGGAAGTGCGCGGCGCTAAGGCGAGAGCCACAGTTTGAAGAGGAACCACCCTCCCATCCGTTAAGCTCTTGCAATTTCTTAAAACGAATATGCGAGGCGCTCAGGCGAGAGCCACATGTTGAAAAGGAGCCGCCCTCCATCCATGAAACTCTTGCAAATGTTTAAAACGAATGTGCGCGGCGCTAAAGCGAGAGCCACATGTTGAAAACCACCCGCCTGCAATCCGTGAAACTGCTGCCACTCGTTAAGCTTCAGAATCATAAATGGTGAGGAAGTCTCAGGTGAAACGCCCGCACCGCCCTAAAAACTGGCCTCGCGGGGTGCGACAGGGAGAAATGAGTTATGAGGAATAGGAATGGAGGTGAGGGGGGATTTGGGGACAAGCAAACGGAGAAGGGGGGGAAGCGGGGACGGTGGGGCGAAGGGAAGGAGGAAGGAGCGGGAGACTTTGCCTGAGCGCGTACCGACATGATCTGAACACCGCCGCAGCCTCACCTTTGGACCTGCCTCGCTGCTTCCTCTGTCGCGCTCGTCTCGGCCGAAAGTTTGGCCCTTTCTCTCCCCCCTTTTCCGCTCCCTCACTCTGCCCTAGCTCTGGGGAAGCCGAAAGGTACCGATACCGCTACCCCCCGAACCTCTCCTGGGGTGCGTTCTGACCAGGATTTCGAAACGAATCCAGCGGCGGCGACGAGGGCCTCCAAGGAGGCCCAAAACGGGGAAAACGAGCGAGGGGGTAGAGGTATGGGTACCTTTTCCTTCTCTGCCCTTCCTCTCGCCCCCGCTTCTCTCCTCGCCACCTCCCCCTCCGGTCGGACACTCCCAGCTTCACAAGGGGGGCAGGGGGGTGCTCTGGCGCCTCCAGCCTCCCCATGTCGAACATGGGGTCCTGGGGCACGCAGCCGCACCTGGCTGCTCGGCCGTACAAGCTCCCCTCCCTCCCTCCGCTCCCCCGCCCTCCCTCGGGGGGGACGAAAGGGGGGGATATCAAAGCTCAGGGTAGAGAATCAGCCCACGCAACTGATTTTCCCGGCGCCTCCCGGCGACGGGAGGCGTCCATGCATCGAGGAATGAGCCCGACGGCAGGGCCGCAACCAGCTGCACGTAGCAAATTTCGTACTCCCCCCCCTTCCCCTATCTCCCCCCCTCTTTCCTTCGGCCCGACTCCCGCACCCCCGCAACCCCTCCCGGGCGGCGAGCGAGGGGGGCAGGCACGAAAGGGGCGGGCCTTCTCGGAGCGCATCTCTTCACTCGCGGCCACAACGGGCGTCATGGGGGGGGAACAAGGGCTCCCCACTTCGCGCTTCGCCCTGCGCGAAACGCAAAGTGCGAACAACTTCGCGCTCTCGCGCCGCCTCCAAGGGGAGACGAGGAAGATGAGGAGGAATCGGAGCCGAACCGCGAAGCGCGAATAACTTCGCGCCCTCGAGGGCGCCCATGACGGGGGGGGAGAGGGGGGGGGGCAGGGGGACGGCCCCCCCCCAAGACGGTTGCCAGACGCACTGCGGTAGTGCCGGGGATGCACTGATGGGGGGGGAGCGTTACGTTTTGGGGGGAGAGGGGGGGAGGGGAATGGGCCGAACGCGCGCGCTATGGCCAGAGAGAGGCTTTTAAAAAAGCAAGAAAACAAAAACAAGAACTCTCAGAAGAGGTCTCCGACAACACAAAAAGCCCCTCGGAAGGCACGAGGTCTTCCGGAAAGTCCCGCCGCCTTCTGAGAAGACCTTTCCCTTTATATTTCCCCCCCTCGCTCACCGCCGACTCC